GGAAACAGCTGTTCCCAAACCCCCCTTTAGCTGCCTGAGCTTCCAAGACTTGAACTGCAATAGGGGTCTTTCCTATGGAACTGGGATCCTGCTGAGAATCCTTCGGATCCCCCAGCATAAGGGAACCGGTGCTGTACCCAGGATGTGGAAATGGGGCTTCCTATTGAAAAGACAGCCAGTGTCCCCCAAGTCCCTGGGATGCACCAGTGAATTATGAAGGTGCAGGAAATCCAGTAGCGTTTCTCTCCACCTCCCCTCCTCCTCTGGCTCCAGGAGTTGCCTGCAACATTGTCCCATGTTTAGATGGAAGTTGAGCCTCCTCTGTGGCTGGCCAGGTTGAAGGCTGCCTGGAAGTGGGTGCCAGCTCTGCCCTCTTCAAGAAGGGAAGAGACCGCCTCCTGCCACTTACCTCCCAACGACCAACAAGATCGCACAGGTTGGGCCTCCTCCGGGTGCCGTCGACCGGACAATGCCGGCTGGCGGCTCCCCGGGGGAGGGCCTTCTCTGTTGCTGCGCTGGCCCTGTGGAACGATCTACCCGCAGAGATCCGGACCCTTACCACTCTCCCAGCCTTCCGTAAAGCCGTCAAGACCTGGCTGTTCCGGGCAGGCCTGGGGCTGTTGATTGATATCCAGCCCCACTTAGATGGAATGGATGATGTGGAATTTTAATATTGTATTTTTTGTTTTTAAATTTTAAATGTTTCCTTGTCTTGTTGTGAGCCGCCCAGAGTCCCAATGGGAGTGGGCGGCATACAAATTTTATTAAACTTGGAAACTTGGAAGGAGGGGAGAGGCTCCGGCCTCCTAATTGCCTGTCCTGGGCTGGGAAGTGGCCATGGAAACGTCTAGCTGGCAAGTTTTTTCTCTTCCTCAGAAGTACCCACCCCCTTTTCCTGTACACTGAATCAGTTCACGCGTCTGAACAGAACCTGGATTTTGGTTTGGGCATGCCCGTCTTGTGTCTCCACCCTGTTGGGGGCAAGTCCCAGGGAGCTGTTCTAATGCCTGCCTCCTTCTTGAACCAACTAGTACCAACGCACCGGAACCCTGACCAGAGAGGCATTCTTCCACTCAGGAGTTCTGGCCCATCTGCAGGGTGAGCAGTTTAGGGAAATGGCTGTCCCCTTCTCTACTTTGCTTATCTAAAGCTGTGCATCCTTCCTGAGCAGGGAGGCAGGCTGGCAGGGCTGCTGCCAACCTCTCCATCAGATGCGCTTGTCCTGGGTGAAGCTTTCAGTGAAAGTAGCTTTTCCTGTAGTTTCCCTTCCCTTAAGCTACCCCGTCTGAGGAAGGCACACCCAAAACATAACTTTCTTGCCTAAAGCACTGAGGGGAAATTGCAGGTTTTGCTCCCTTCCTCTTTCTTCAGGCTTTTGGCAACTCCGCCAAATCCTTCCGCTATTAGCAAGTGTGTCTGCACATTTAACGGTTGGCTGCCTCCAAAATTCACTGCTGTGTTGGCACTCAATTATTACTGTTTCCTGCTGGCTGTTAAGTTTTTTTTCATCACTGTTAAATTGCCATCTAAACATCTAAGAAACAAGAAGGCCTCTTCAGAAGTCCACAGCTCTCTTGAGTGCTTCTTGATCTTTCCTCCTGGCTACAAAGATGCCCTCTTGCTCTCCCCTCCTCTGCACATATAACAGGATCCCTGCTCTGGGCACATCTTCTGTCAATCAGAATGTGAAAGGGCACCTCTGGAAGCTCTCAAGCTGCAGGCTAGGAGCTGTGTTTCTAAAACCTGGCTCTGCCTGTCTCTTTACCTGAGAGACCGCCTCCTGCCGATCACCTCCCATAGACCGATTAGATCACACAGGTTAGGTCTCCTCCGGATTCCATCTGCCAGCCAATGTTGNGCTGGCTGGGGAATTCTGGGAGTTGAAGTCCACAGGACTTAAAGTCGCCAAGGTTGAGAAACACTGCATTTAGTGGGGCGGGCAGGGGCAGCTCTCAGCAGCCCAACGCACCATTGGCTTTAGTCCTTCCCTGGTTGGCAGCTCCGAGGGCCTTGGCCTGTTCGCTGCAGCTCTCCCCGGTTCAGACAACCCGGCTGGTTGCGGAAGGGCTTCCCGCCGGTCTCGGGATTTCATGGGGATGCCCGGGAGGGGCCAGGTGCTGGCCCTGGGTGGTGCCTGCCAAATGCCTGCGCCCAGGAGCCAGACAGCCGGCCGGGCGCCCGGCAAACCCAGGAGCGATGCCAGCGGCAAGCCGGGAGGCCCGCATCGCGGAGCCGCTTCGCCCGGCGCTTTTGTCTCTCGGGGGAGGACCGAGCGCCTCGACGCCACCCGGCTGTTCCCGGGGGGCGCCCGGGGCTCGCATCTGGGCGGAAAAGGGAGAGAACCGCAGGAGAAGGGAGGTCCGGGAGGGTCCCCCAGGGAGTTGGCCAATGCCATCCGACGCGCCTTAGCATCCTCTGCTCCACCCCAGGCACCTCTGCCCGGCAGCAGCGGGCAAGCAACCAACCAACCAACCAACCCAGACCCGCCGGCGGAAAGCTGCGGGGCTAGGAGGCGCTTCTCCGCCCCCCACCCTATGTCTTTCTCACCAGTAGGCTGCGGCTCGTCCCGCAGCACCTGCCCCGCAGCCGGGCTCGAACCCGTCACTCCGTCGCCTCCGCCCGCCTAGCCGGCCTGCCACTCCGCGGCAGCCTCCGGAGCCTGGCATCTCCTGTGCGCATGCGCGGGATTGGGGTGGGTGGGAGTGCGGGGGCGGCGCCAGGCCAGGTGTGAAAGAAGCAGCCGCAGCGCATCTCTCTCCCCCAGCTGTGCGGACCCCTCCCCACTTTTTTCAGGGCTCCCCCAGCCGCGGCCGCCGCCTGCCTTGAGCGGGGCCCGGCGCCTGCGCGGCTTTTCGGTGGAGGGAATGCGGTTGCGGGGGTGGAGGGGGCTTCGGCTCAGCTTGGACCACCGTGTAGCACGACGACTGAGCCGCGGCGGCAGCAGCGGCAGCAGCTCCATCCTTCCCCTGCAGCCCCGCGGCTTCCAACCGCGCTCAGCTCTGCAAGGAAGGAAGGAAATCGGCGCCCACCGCTTCCCGTCTCACAACCGCGGTGCAGAGCAGCTCAGAGGCCACCGGAGAATCCCCTCCCGGCCGGTCTTCCCGGGGGGATGGGGAGAGAAAGGCGGGGCTGGCTCTGCTGTAGAGCCGCCTCCTGGGCCGTTCAGAAAAACGCTGGGCAATACAGAGAATAGCAGTAGACTTAGGGCTTTCAGCCCTCTCTAAGCGGTTTACAGAGAGTCAGCATATTGCCCCCAACAATCCGGGTCCTCATTTTACCCACCTCGGAAGGACGGAAGG